CGCATACACCCGCTTGGCCGTCGCTGCAACTTGGAGAAACTGCGGTCGATCTCGACGTTTGAATTGGCATTTGTGCAACGGATGGTTATGGAAATACGAATGATAAGGGTGTAACCGCCGTTTAAGAGATCATCTCATACGGAAGCTCGAGTCGCTGCGGCGGCCAACAATGCGCCATTACTCGCGAATAAATAAAAATCACAATCTCATGCGTGGCGAGGTAGCCACTTCTCGCAAGTGTAACGATAATTTAAGGCGAGGGACGAGAAGGCTGGATGACTCCTTGGCGCATAACGGCAATGTGTTCCCGGTGATTTGATGCTTCCTGGCTGAACGATTCAATCTGGCCGGATGAGGTCGCAAATTCACGTCGTTACGCGGGCCTCGCGAGAGCGTATCGTTTGGCGCTTAACCGCGGCTTACGCGGCAATGTGTTGCGCCGACTGCATGTACCTAAGTAAAGGCGAATTCACACTTTGTGTTTTGATTATCACGATCCGCAAATGTCGTCGAAGGGCGAACGGTCGCGAAAAATCTCTACAGTCTTATTTCCTCGCGTCTGGGTATTAAATTTCCATCTCAGAAATACACAACGCAGTATAATGTATTGAGCAACTAATAATAATCCTGTGATACTCTCCTTCTTAAATAAAATAACTTCTTTATATTACATCCTCCACGTAGATAGCATCGGAGAGAGAGAGAGAAAGAAAACCTAGAGAATATTATTTATATATCCAAATAAGAAACGCGGTTGGTGCGGTAATTAAATCGAATAAAGTTCACTCAGTCGTAACGAGCCGCGTAAATTCGCCTTAAGCAAAACTTGTGGCAAGGAAGATTCCTGCCGACAAAGTGGGCGTACGGGCACCCACGACGACGAGGAGCCAACAAAAAGGCATTGGGAAGTGGAAATTCGAGAAGCTCCGCCAGCGGCCTATTCTCTCTTTCTCTCGCTCTCTCACTCTTCACTTTCCACCCCTGAGGTATTCTTCATCGTTTAGTAAAACAAGAACAATAGCGTCGAGCGCGAACGGCACCCGTGGAAGCTCACTTGTAATTTAATCTCTCTTTAAATTACAGACAGTGAGGACGCTCGCCGGCGACACACCGTCGCACAGCAACGCGACTCGAATTGCATCGCTCGACAAATATATGCGCTGCGGTCGCACCGCTTTGTTTCGCAATTTTCGCGTACGCCTTTTATAGTCATCGTTTTCTCGCCATTCACTTTGCCCGCCCTGTCCTACAGCGTTATCATTAGCTACTTTCCGTTGATTTAGTACCGAACGCGGTTTCTTTAATCTTCAGACAGGATGCGACTCCGCGGGCAAAGAAATTATGAAATAATGTCTGTCAAATTTCTCAGCGTCTTACAAACATTACTAAAAGGCTAATTGTTTTTGTTGTAACTGCTAAAAGTCAAGTGAAATACATTCACTGTTATATACAATTTATTAATTAAAATTAAAAGCGCACATTTGTTCAAATAGTTCAGAAAGTTTAGATAATTCGAATGTGCGCGTGAATCTCTCGAGCATTCTGTAAAGAATTATTCTCACAGACTGCATTCCACCGCATCGATTGACTAGTTTTCTTTCATTAATATATACGACAACGATTGAGATAATAATATTATCTCAATAATTACTATAACAAAATATATACAAAATGGTACGGGACTTTTCTATTTAACAAATTCTATCTGCATACGATCATTTAAATTTATACACTCTACATAATTAATGAATATGCGAAACAATATTTTTTGTGTGTTGTGTCTTCACAAACTTTTATGTATTTTCTTCATTATGGTGTCGGAAATATACATATTTATATAAATAAGAATGTCTGACACGCGTATCAACACTCGTGTACAAGTAAGAGTTCATGAAATTGAACAAAACAGTCCTCTACCATTTTGTAAATAACCATGATAATTATTTCTTTACCTTGATCCACAATATGAATCTTATTACTGCCACAATAGACGACAGCAGGAGAGGAATCTGAACAATTCGATCGCGAATGAAACAAGTTGCGTGTTGTTTGCGTCTCTCAATTGTCACAACATTCGGCTCGTCCAAATGGGCAATGAGAGAACGGCACATGCCAAAGAGATCACTTTTTATTTCACGTCGATACGTTCGACCAATTCGCGAGTTATAGTCATTTAACCCTAGAAGGACCAAGGTAGCCAATTTGGCTCCTCGCAAAATTCAAACAGCTATAAGCTTGCAGTAAGCTTTTTTTCAATTTCTCTATGCTATAGCTATGCAATAAGCTTTTTTTCAATTTCTCTTCCATGTGATAACCTCTTGTGACTTTTCATTATAATCTTAATTTTGGTAAATAAAAAATTTAATTACACAAGATGCTGTGTTGAATTTTTTAATTGTCTACCTGGAAGGACCGTTGGAGCCAATTTAGCTCCTTTATTTCCAATATTGCATTCACATATGTTTTACAATTTTATTAACAAGTTTTATGACTTTAAACAGATATATATATAAAAATATTTATTTATCTAGTTGAAATCATAAAACTTGTTAATAAAATCGTAAAACATATGTGAATGCAATATCGGAAATAAGGGAGCCGAATTGGCTCCAACTGTCCTTCCAGGTAGACAATTAAATAAAAATTCAACACACCATCTTGTGTAATTAAATTTTTTATTTACCAAAATTAAGATTATGATGAAAAATCACAAGAAATCATCACATGGAAGAGAAACTGAAAAAAGTTATAGCTGTTTGAATTTTGCGAGGAGCCAAATTGGCTATCTTGGTCCTTCTAGTGTTAAAATCGATGTCAGATTTCAGCTCGGCCTTGACATTAGATCAAGCGGGCCTCATGCTGTCGCGCCGGCGTCTGCTGCCAAACTATCTTTTTCTCTAAAGTGAGGTGAACGACCGCGAGCCTGCAGCGAGCACGTGCGCAGAAGCATGTGCACAGGAGCACGTGTACCGCGCTTATCTGGGGCGCGGAGTGGGGGTAGCGAGCCGCCGTGCGCGGCGCAAGGTGACTTCCAGCTGTGGAATGCGGTCTTTCACGCGTCGCGTCGCCGCTTATTCACAGCTTGCCGCAGCTATAGCGCCGAGTTTTATCTAAAACGCGGATCGGTACAAACGCTAATAACTCCACTTGTAGACGTCCTAGCGACTTGAAACAAAAACCATTGAAAAGGGGAAATTATCGCGCTTCGGATGGATGTGAAATTCGACGAAATAAAAATCAGATAGTGTAGCGTGTAAGTACGAAAAATACTGATTTTCATGTTTGCCTTTAAGTGAATGTTAAAGAGGGAAATCTTGACTCGAATTTGTAACGCGACAAGCATCAGCTTTATGTCTATAACGAATATAAAGTACAATTTAGAAGAGAAGCAAAATTATAATAAAAAGAACTTTCCATCTACAACTTTCCAACTGTGAATATTTTTTATGTCACGCCGAAGTTTAAAGAACTAATGCATTTCGGTAATAATAACGGTAGCTATCAGATGTATCGTTTTAATAGCACATCCTAGCTGCCATATCTGTGACTTAGCTTTTGCAGCTAATCCTTTGTATGCGAATACCGTTTGCTCTTTTATTCTCTGTCGCGAGATATTAAATATATTAAAATATGCTAGATATTGAAAGAAAAACGCGGGCAAATAATTATTATTTATCGCGGTAAGATATCGCTGAAAGATCGAGCGCGATTAAATGATTTAAAGGCGTTTGGGGCAGCAAATTGCGTTTGAATTAAATTAAGTAGAAAGCGTGTACACTAAACCACTGTAGCATTGGTTCAATGTAAATTAGTATCAGCTCGACCGTTCTCGTAACGTGCTTCAGAGCTGGAAAACAACCTACGTAAAGTCACTACGCGATATGTACCTTGTCGTGATATTCGTATGATTAGGTAATCTCTCTAATGTTTTAATTTATAACTCTCTAGTACGTTCGATCGAATTGAAACTAATACACGGGCCAAGACGAATCGTAAAAAAAGTAAAAGGATACGTTGATTAAGAAACTTTATCAGGTAAATATACATTACGGTTATATACACACTGAGAAAAAACACCTAAAAATTTAAAAAAATATGTCAATGGGTACTAATAACATATTTACGTAAATTTAAATTCTTTTATTTAAACAGAACAAGCTTTCAATTCTTTTATTTAAACATTCATGAAAAGCATTTTTATGTGAAAAGCTAAAGTTTTAAATATATTTTTTATTTGAAAAATGTTTTTCTTAGTGTAAAAAATTATATAAAAAAAATATATATATTAATATAAATAAATATGTTGTTAGTACCCATACCGAATAAATATTTTTTTTTTCACTGCGCTATTTTATACTATTCGAAAGAAATATAGAGAATAATTTATCTCTACTAATTTTTATTTATTTTATCTAATAAATTTCTATGGAATAGCTCAGTCAACATACATTAATCCAAAGTCAACAGACATTAATTTCAAGAACTTTATAAAATTCAACGTGTGTATGTATATATATGTGTATGTATATATATATATATATGTATGCCACGTAGGGGAAATATTGTATGACTGCAATAACAAGTAACTGTAATGTCGAACCCATCGTCGAAATAAAGAGAGAACGCGGCGCGATATAAATATAAACTGCGCATAATGTCGGCGTAGATTTATATGTTCGAATTTTTCATCCTCTAACACGGCACGTGCACCGTACACGCGTGTGTCCAAGAGAAATTCGCGCGCTATCATGCTCGTTGACGTGTTGATTGATAAAGGGCATAAAGTATCTACGTTCCTTTTCCGATGCCTTATCGGGGAAGTTATGTAACGAGACTTCCCAAACCACGAGATGCGCGAAAGTGTAATAATTTACACCTAAGTACTTCGCCGCAATTCTGAAGAGACCGTTTCCACACTTGCGTATTTCAAATATTTTATTATCTGCGCTATCATCGATAGTGGCGAGGATTTCCATTAAAAGTACCGTTCGTTTTTGCAGAGAGACGATGATTTACATAAAGCGGTGAAGCTGACGACGAGGGAGCGGAGGTTCATAAAGTTTGCATCAGTAACATACGATGGCCAACTCTATATGACCCCGCAGGATTTTCTCGACAGCGTCATTGATCCCGAACCTCGACGTACGTAATGTATTTAATTAGTACACGATTCGTTTCTCCCAACGAAATTTCTCTCAGTAATCGGTTGTAGCAATCAAGTTGATTATTCATTTCGTTTTATCGCAGCAAATTCCAACTTTTATTATCTAGCTCGATTAAAAATTCCCGACTTTAGTGCCGGTATTTACTTTATTTTATCGGAATTACGACTTTAGTGCCGATATTTGCTTTATTTTATCGGAATTACAAAAGAAAAATTTTATTTGTGTCTCATCAGATATGTTTTTGTCACTTTTTAAATACATATCTTTCCCGGAGAATAAATCTACAATAATAACATATCATAATCGCTACATCTCGATTAATATTTCATGACAAAATATAGATATTTCCAATGATATTTCCAGCGAGACTGAAGAGACGCGTGCTGTCCGACGTGGAACTCGAAGTGATGCGAAACTCTAATCCTTCACTACGTCATGGAAGCACGCATATGTTTCGGAATTTACGAGATAAAGGCAAGTAAACTTATATTTTTTATATAGAAAATGAAAAAAAGTCTCTTTTGTCTCATTTCTCTTGTACCAAAAGCTTTTTTAATCTGCCGAAGTTTCTATCGCTTTAAATTAAACATCTAACGAGAATTCATGGTTTTAAGTGCACGTTCGTACGATCTAACTGCAGTCACGATGTTCGAAAATAAAGATAAACGAAGCAGGCAGTATCTCGCGTGATCAGCGCGCTTTTAATAATACCACTTTGTATATACGCGCTTAACTCTCTTAGAGCGACGTTACACGCGGGATAAGACCACCACCGTAACGCTAGTCACGACAAAATTCACGATTGTGGGGTGCCGTAAATCTGCGTGCCGACCTAAGTACTGCCTCGTTTGCACCTCGGAGCTTTCTACCGAAATATGCGATTCGACGAGAAAAATTACGAGACGCGCGATAATAGACGCCGGCGACGATAACGCGACTATCGATCTGCAATCGACCTGCGGCCGCAACCTGTACTTACGACGCATACTTATTCGACATGAGTTCTCGCCACCCACGCGCACCGTTCGCCGCGGTCGCGACAGGATCGTATCATTAGTTTAATGGCGGCTGCACTTCGGCGCGTTTCTTCCTGGCTTTTTACGCGTGCACCGCACGTTTGTCGCGCTAATGGAAATGCAAATAATCAGCATACGGGAAGGTGGAGTGCCGATGAGAGGGGAACGAGAAGGGACCAGCCAGTTTCACACCTCCCTTTAATAATAACGAGTTTCTTGTCTCTGTCGCGGGAGCTTTCTCCTCCTTTTTTTTCTTTCTATCTCTCTCCCTTTTAGTATGTGTGCGAGTCGCAGTTTCACGAGCGGATAAACGAGTCTGAGGACCGCTTTTAAGGACACTTTCAATATACAGTGGGCCGTTACAATTAAGGACAACTTGGAAAGGTTGCGAGAGCTATCGGTGGCGAGCTACCGCGCGAGAACGGCGTCTCGTAGTCGTGTTAGCGATACATTGGGGTGTCCATTCGGGTGGTCACGACCATAATGTTTAGACGCGGCACTTCCTTATTGTCCCGACAACACGTGCTACTTTCCGCGACTTTACGATAGTTATTTGCCTCCTTCCACCACTTCGAGATAGACGCCGTCGAGATATCGCGACTTGCTTTTACACGCGAGTGCCGTGCGCGAATCACAGCTTCCTAAACGTTTCGAGTTAAACGGACAACCAATCTCCGCGTGGATTATTATTCGAAATCCGGTCAACACGCACTGCGTTGGAGCTAACATTGCCGTTAGATAACTTTTAAAACATGTATTCAGAAGTGGCGTAACAGGATAAATTAAAATAAATTGAAACGAGGTAAAAAAGAAGTTAAATTAGATTAAAAACTCTTTTAATTGCTGTTAATTTCGAAAATTGATGTCTGTATATTCAGCGGCGTTAGATGTAGAGGAGTTTAAGTTAAGTACGACGCTAAAACATAAGTAATATTAAATTATATATTTAAATGCTTGTGTATGCGTATATCTGTAATCACAGTTTTTGCTTTACGTCATTATTAGCTTTACGCGTTAACAATGAATGTTTGATTAAACGACGACGAGATTGACAGAAATACCGCGCATATATAAAATATCATACATATATCCTAATTAAATCGACTTTGTCGGCTACTTTCTTTACTCTCTTTTAGACCTCGACTTTCTTTGCTTTTGGAAATGTGAGGGAATTTTATAGGGTGCCTACGATTTGTAAAGTAGTCCTTTTGTGTTGCGTACAAGCTAAGACTGCCGCCGCAAGGGAGTACGTTTAAGATCAGAATTTAGGTGCGTCCGCGGGTCTCACTTTTGCTATTAAATTCTAAGTTATTGATCCTTCCCGAAGGCGATGGCATTCTCAAAAAAAATACCTGGGACCATGTGAGGCGTGTCTAACGCGTGTTCGACGCTACTCTAAGGCATCGTAAACGCCTGATTACTGCATGTCCACACAGATCACGCTCAAATGCGGATTAACGGGGAAATCAAGAATGAATTCGACGGAATCACGAGACTTTACGAGATGCAAAGACAGAGAATCGCGTAATATATAACAACCTGTCTAAATTCCTATAGTATCTCGCTTTATTACTGCGGGGAAAGTATTTGACCGCCGAATCAAACGTGAAATTTGAATTTAAGACCGATGCTAAATATATACTACTTGAATGAAGAGATTTACATAATACCGTATTTTGCAGTCGCGTAAAATATAAAATTTCCGGACACGATAATGTATGTGCGCTTAGAGTTCACACAATTAGCGTAATTTTTAAAGAAAATTAAAGCTGATTTATTCCTATTTGTCATTCATAATTTGTTGATTTAGAAATTATTACTGTACGATTAACTTTTTTCTTCTAATGAATTCTACTATTAGGAATATACTAAGGAGAATATACTAATTTTCTAGAATCTATTAAATCATGTTTTTTTCTACTTTCAGGAATAATTTCCTACACGGAGTACTTGTTTCTACTATCTATCCTGACGAGTAAGTATCCCGCCGGTATCTTTGAATATATTTACCGGGAAAATTATGACATAAATGCAGAAAACGCCTAAATGAAGCACAATAATCGCTCCGTTCGTCACAAACTATACGTTGTCGGAGAAAAATCGGGCAATAAAATGCTACGTTCGTCTTGTTCACGTGAAAGCAATGACCATTATCCGCTCACTCGGGAAGCCGTAATACATACTGAGCATCCAATTTATTTGATGTGCACGGCGCAAATTATTATGTGACAATTTTAATGGCACGCGGAACATATGTATTAAACGCGCTACATTTTTACGTAAATGTGCGTCCGGGCACAACATTATTCAGAATATGCGTCACAAGTCTACAGGGTGTTCTTAGCTGTTCTTTCCTGCTTTCTTTTATCCATAGAAAATACAATAGAATATCTATATCAGATATATCTTTCCTTGCAACTTCAAAATATTTGATTGGCATATTTTTATGATTAACTCTCTCGTGCGAAGATTCTGTTAAAATAAAGTTCATTTGTAATTAAAGCTGTTAACATATCACAAAATCTTCATCAAGCGTAGATTATTCTATCTTTAATCTATTTGAACTTATAAATTAATCTTTTGTATCTTTAGAGAACTTATAGAGATATTTATTTGAATTAATCTGTTGTACCTTTATTAGAGAACAACCATTTCGTATTTGAATCTAAATAATCCGTAGGGAAAACTCAATACGATATATCTGAAACATTCTGTATACGTGCGCTCATAATTCGTATCCAAAAGCAAAGTTGACGTTTGAACGTAAAAATCACCCGTAACAAAAATGCATCGTTAATGTCGAGCATTGAAATATAATGCCGCTGTAAATTCATGGTGATAATTGATTCCGTTGCAGAACCGAAAACTGGTTTCCAAATCGCCTTCAATATGTTCGACACTGATGGGAACGAGCGAGTCGACAAAACCGAGTTTCTCGTGGTAAGATCGTCGCGAGATGCGCGCACGCGTGTTTTCGCGGCTGCAGTGAGTGCAAATGCATGTAAAACAATAGCTATTAGTAAAAGTCGATTTTTCTTCTATGTGTTTTGCAATTAGGAGACAGAACGATATTAGAAAACTCTTATTCTTAGATGAAATATGAATGCTCTAATGAATATTTTTCGATAACAAGACGCAAGATGGGATATGTCATCGCAATGGAACGTCCTTCAATAAGTTGCAGCTTCTAATACGAATCAGGCGGAGCACTCGTGAAATACGCACTCCTACTAGCGAGGATGAATTTTGACTACACTTTTACACACTCTCTGAAACATGTTTATACTAACTAACTAGCAATTGGCATGAAATAGTTTTTATCGTTCTCGCAGATTCGTCGTTTACTCGGCGGCAGCCTGAAAGAACGGGATCTCGACGAGCCGACGAAACGTGCAGTGAGTTTTCAGAAAATCTATCATCTATCAGGGTGATGTTGGAAAATTATCGATTGATCGAATGTCCGAAAAATCGATTGTTATGTCAACTATTATATCATTTTTGATTAACGACTGTGTAATATCTTTTTACATTTACAACTATGTTATTACATTCAATTACATGTAAATCACGTATTCTGAATTATTTTCAAGAGCGAAGGTATTTCTCGTTACATATATATATATATATATATATATATATATATATATATATAT